GAAAACGAGCAGGCCTTATCCTTGCGCATTCTCAATTTGGAGGATGGTGACGCCCGGGCGGTTTTCAGAAATATAGATTTTGACATGCGTTTGTACAAGCGCCTGCGCATGTTTACTCACGTAGAAAGCGCGGGCCCAACAGACGATCTGCAAGACGGTGATCTCACGGTATTCATTCGGCTGGGAGCCGATTACGACCAAAATTATTACGAGTACCAAATCCCCATGGAGGTTACACCCTGGGGCACATCTGCCGAAGAGCGGGAGGTGATTTGGCCGGCCGCCAATGAGTTGAATTTTGCCCTTGATATTTTACGCGATGTAAAGCTGGAGCGAAACCGGGCCTACCGCCAGAGTGGGCAGGTAATTTCAGATCCGTACACGGTAAACCGCAGCGGTGGGGAAGTAACCGTGGTGGGGCAACCCAATTTGGGGAATGTGCGCACCATTTTAATTGGGGTGCGCAACCCCAAGCGCAGGTTGCTTACCGATGCCGATGATGGCATGGCCAAAAACGCAGAGGTTTGGATTAATGAATTGCGCCTTACGGATTTTGACCAGCAGGGCGGCTGGGCAGCCAATGCACGTGTAGCTGCAAAGTTGGCCGATTTCGCCAATGTATCGGTGAGTGGCAGAACCAGTTCGGTGGGTTTTGGAAGCCTTGATCAGAGCGTTAGTGAATTTCAGCAGGAGGAAGTGTACGCTTACGATCTGCAGTCGAGCTTTGAGTTGGGTAAATTCTTTAACAAAGATATTGGCTTGCGCATCCCCATGTTTTATGGCACCAGCGAGCAGTGGATTAACCCCCGATTCAACCCGCTGGATCCCGATGTGGAGTTTGATAGGGCCGTTGATAACCTGGAAACCGAAGGACAACGTGACTCTCTGCGGCAGGCCTCGCAAGACTATACGCGCAGGCGCTCGTTAAACTTCACCAATGTACGAAAGGAGCGCACCGGTAAGCGGGCGCAGGAAACTCCGCAGGTTTACGATATTGAAAACTTCTCGGCCACCTATTCTTTTAACGAGGTATTTAGAAGAAACATTAACACCGTGT